CCCGCAATTAAAAAGGACAAAACTCAGGCAAGGGGTGATGTCAAGGTGTGACAGCCTGAGAGTGCTGCCTCCCCCTCTAGTTTAGGAGGATGTCTCTTTGCCTGTTGCCAGCAGTCGAGCACAGGGTCCTATTCCTTGGTGTTTGTATCACATGGACCTTTCACACAAGGCGAGGTCAAGCACCTACCAGCGTGGCAAGCTGGCCGTGCTCTGACTCTCAAGTCAGGTTGTATAGGCTCTTGTGCAAACTAATGTTGTATATTTAATAAATGTTTATATGTTGGGCAAAACTTCATTTGAGATTTGCTTTCATTAAAACCCAGTAAATCCTTGCCCCATATACAAAAATTCAAAATGGAACAAAGACCAAAACATAAGACCTAAAATTACAAAACTCTTAGACAAAAACATACAGGAAAAATTTCATAACATTTTTTTTGGCAATGAGTTATTGAATATGACAACAAAAGCACAAGCAACAAAAATTTTTTTAAAAAATCAGTGAAGTGAACTATATCATAATTTAAAACTCCTGTGCATCAAAGGACACAATCAGAGTGAAAAGGCAACCCATAGAATGGGAGGAAGTATTTGCAAATCAACTCTGATAAGGATTTAATATCCTGAATATAGAAAGAACTCCCACAAGTCAACACCAAAAAACAAATAACCTGATTTTAAAATGGGCAAAGGGCTTGAATAGACATTGTTTCAAAGGAGATACACAAAATAGTGAACAAGCACATGAAAAGACGCTCAATATCACTAATCATTGTGGAAATACAAATCAAAACAACAATGAGATCACCTCACACCCACCAGGATGGCTATTATTTAAAAAAACAAACAAACAACAACAACAACAACAACAGAAATAAAATAAAGGACCAGCCTGGGCAACATGGCAAAACCTCATCTCTACAAAAATATAAAAATTAGCCAGGTATAGTGGCACACACCTGTAGTCCTAGCTACTGGGACGCTAACATAGAAGGATCACTTGAGCCCCAGAAGTTGAAGCTACAGTGAGCCATGATCGCGCCACTACACTCCAGCCCAGCAAAAGAGCAAGGCCCTATCCAAAACAACAACAACAACATGATAGAACACAAGTGCTGGCGAGGATGTGGAGAAATTGAAAGCACTGTGTACTATTAGTGATACGGTAAAATGATACTGTTGCTATGGAAAACATATGGCAGTTCCTCAAAAAATTAAAAATAGAATTACCATATGATCCAGCAATTACACTTCTGGATATGTACGCAACAAAATTAAAAATAGGATCTTAAGGCCAGGCACGGTGGCTCATGTCTGTAATCCCAGCACTTTGGGAGGCCGAGGTGGGTGGATCACAAGGTCAGGAGATCAAAACCATCCTGGCTAACACAGTGAAACCCTGTCTCTACTAAAAATACAAAAAAATTAGCTGGGCGTGGTGGCGGCGCCTGTAGTCCCAACTACTCGGGAGGCTGAGACAGGAGAATGGCGGGAACCCGGGAGGCAGACCTTGCAGTGAGCCCAGATTGTGCCACTGCACTCTAGCCTGGGCAACAGAGCGAGACTCCGTCTCAAAAAAAAAAAAAAAAAAGGAATCAAAGAAATATCTGTACACCTATGTTCATAACAGCATTGTTCACAACAGCCAAAAGGGAAAAGCAACACAAGTGTCCACCCATGAATGAACAGATAAACAAAATGTGATAGATATATATATAAACTGGGAAATTATTTAGCCTTTAAATAGAAGGAAACTCTGATAGATGGTACCGCATGGACGAACCTGGAGGACATCTGGCTAAATGAAATAAACCTGATACAAACAGACAAATGCTTTATGATTCAACCCATATGAGATACGTAGTATTGTCACATTCATATTGTCAGAAAGTCAAATGGTGGTTGTCAGGAGTTGGGGAGATGGGGGATGGGAAGTTGTTGCAAAGTAATGGGTACAGAATTTCAGTTTTGCAAGAAGAAAAAATTCTGGAGGTTGATTGTATAACAATGTGAATATACTTAACAATACCGAATTGGACACTTAAAATGGTTAAGGTGGGAAATTAATGTCCTGTGTATTTTGCCACAGTTAAAATTTTTTAAATAATTTTTTTAAAAACAGTGAATTGCAAGGCTGTCGGGAATAGGTAAGACTCACTTATTCAAGAGCAGTGCATGATTAAATTGACAGGTCAGTTCTTAAGAGGTAACATGGATACCGTGATGGCTTAAGAAAACAACTGAACTGTAGCCAGGCATGTGGCTCACGCCTATAACACCAGCACTTTCGGAGGGTGAGTCAGGTAAATTGCTTGAGCCCAGGAGCTCAAGACCAGCCAGGGCAATACAGTGAGACCCCACCTTTACAGAATACTTAAAAATTAAAAAAAAAAAATAGCCAGGGATGGTGCACACACTTTTATTCCTAGCTACTCAGGAGGCTGAAGTGAAAGGATCACTTGAGCCTGGGAGGTCGAGGCTGCAATGAGCGATGACTGTGCTTCTGTGCTCTAGCCTGGACAACAGAGTGAGACCCTGTCTCAAAAAAAAAAAAAAAAAAAAGAAAGAAAATTTTCTGAAATGTAACGCCCTCTCCACTCTACTCTTCGCCACCCTCCAGTTAGTGGTGATGATACCTACTTTAGCTACAGTTACTCTACACGGCCCCAGAAAATAACCTATCTTAAATCTTTGCAGCCATTGCCCTCCTAATATTTTCCAGAATAGCAGAACCAAATTGGCCACAACAGCATGCTTCTAAGCCTGAGCTTCGGTTCCTCGTGCATAAAATATGATATATGTAGCATGCTTAGAAAAATGCTTGGCCTACCAGCTCCCCTGGGAGTTGATGGAGAGAAGCGGGGCTGGAGTCACTGAGAGACTCCAGACCTGGCATCATAGTCAACCACAAAAAGACTTTTTTTCTAGAGAGCCATCATCCTACTAACAGCCTCAGACATAGTTTGTTCCGTATAAAAGAGGGACCACCAACAACCAAGGGGATAAACTATCTCACTGAGTTTCATCATTCACCAAAATACAAAGCATGCTAAAAGCACTCTAGAAAACCTCACATAAACAAACAAAAGTATCCGGTCAGTCCCCCAGTCTCTGAACCACGCCTCAGAACTGTGATATATTACTGGGCTGTAACGGTAATCTCAAAGCCTCTCATTCATCACATAGCTCCACTAGCAGAAAATAAGCAAAACAGACTTCTTTCATGGGTCCTCCACGTCTGCAGAATCAAATCCCAACTCTTCAACTTAAATATCATTTCAACATTCCTATATCCCTACTATCTTCCTTCCCAAATTCATTTCTCATTTCCTAAACCAAGCTTCACGTCACTAGAACGCTCTACCACTCAAGGAGTCTAATCAATCATTTAAAAATCTAGTTGAAGTCCCATTTCACCTGAATCAGACCCTGAAAGGGTCTGCTGAAAGGCCACTCCTGAATCAGACAGCTAACTCAGCACACCTGCCACCCCACACTTCAACACTTGATGTGTACCATCCAAAACGGTGGCTTGCCACCTAGTCCTGAGTGTATATCATGTTTCCTCGAATTGACTGCAAACTCCTTCAGGATGAGAAGGGTGTACATGGGTCTTGTAAATGTCCCCTAGCTCTGGACAGTGCTATGATGACTACAGAAAAGCCACCTGAGGCTGGGCGTGGTAGCTCATGCCTGTAATCCCAACACTTTGGGAGGCCAAGGCAGGCAGATCACCTGAGATAGGGAGTTCAAGACCAGCCTGGCCAACATGGTGAAACCCCATCTCTACTAAAAATACAAAAATTAGCTGGACATGGTGGCGCACGCCTGTAATCCCAGCTACTCGAGAAGCTGAGGTGGGAGAATCATTTGAACCTGACAGGCAGAGTTTGCAGTAAGCCAAGATCAGGCTACTCTGTCACCCAGGCTACTGTGCTCTAGCCTGGGTGACAGAGTGAGACGCCATCTCAAAAAAAAAAAAAAAAAGCCACTTGATGCCTACTGAGTTATCACATTTATCAAAAATAAATAAAAAAGATGGCTGGTCAATACAGGCAGAGGCTGCAGCTGCTAATCTCACTTTCTTCATTTGTTTAGCAAGGTACCAAAAGGAAACTTTATGGGTACCATATAGAAAATGAAGGTATCAGGTTATCTGTTATGTCTAAACCTATTGATAATTAACTATTTAAAGAAAAAACATGGAGTAGGTAAAATTCCTAGGATACATTCATCGCTCCCCCTAAGCAAATCTCATCACTTTGTGGAGCCTCAATATTCTCATCAGTAAATCAGGAAAAATGTATCCCTTGTCTTTTTGACTATCAAAAAGCTTGTATGAGGGGAGCTTGTATGTGTATGTGTGGGGAGCTTGTATGAGGCAAGAGTAAATGACATGTGAAAAGAACTATAAAAATTACATGGTGGTATTCAAATGTCATATGCCATGAATAGTATTTGTTTTGACTTCGAGAAATCTGTGTTTGATTACAATGGTCATACTTTTTTTGTTTAAAAAATCCTTTTCAGAGGAATTGAAAATCATTATCTCATGTACACATCATCTCTACATAACCAGCACTAAATCTTTCTGTGCTCTTTGTATGACTACAAGTAGTTGAGCAAACTGAGTTTTCTTGGCATTTGTGCTGTCTGTCAACAGGTTTTGCATCCAATTAACAATTGCCCTGTGGTATTTCCTCAACCATCCATAAATGTCTTTTTCTGTGTGTGTGTGTGTGTGTGTGTGTGTGTGTGTAACATTTCACGAATGTATTTGTTTTTTTCCCAAATAGGGTATATGAGTTTCTAGCTACCAGTTACCATATCCTATATTCCCCGGTTCTCTCAGGAATGTCAAGTATAAATAATCAACATACTGTGAGTATTAAGGACAAGGTCAAGATGGATAAGAATTGTTTAACAGAGCAAATCACAGTTTTATTTTTGAGTTAAGGCAGGGATGCATTTTCGTGGCTCCATTCCACATCCTTAAATTCTTAAGGTCTGTTTTGGCTTTTGCTGAATGACATTATGTCTTCCTATTAAAGAAAACAAATACGAGCTTTCTACCACAGGCATATGAGAAACTTTAAAATCACAACCTGAAAGTGGTGTAAGTAGGCTACAGGCCTGCTAGCTTAAGAAAAAGAAAAGTTACTTTTAGCAGCTATTTCTCCATCTTTTCACTAGGTTATAAATAACAACACCTAAAATAATTCAGAGCTATAATCCACAAATAATTTATCATAGTGCGTCCACTAGAAAATAAAATAACAATGCTCAAAGGTAGGCATTCTAAGAGTGCTTCATTGAGATTTTCACAGGTAAGTTGAGGGTTTGGTTCCCACCTTAAAATATTTCAGATCAATATTTTTTCTGGTTCTTCCATATGCAAGAAAATTTCATTGTCCAACGGTCTGTAATATATTAGTAGAAATTAATTTTATTATGTTAAAATATTCCTTAATGAGCTGGCAATTATTCATGTGGAGGAGAGTCCAGAAAACAGGTCCATGACTGAATTATCCTTGTCCTTGATTACAGAGATTCATGAATGACACACATCACACCGTTCTCTGGAGTAACTGCTGAAGGTCTAGGAGGCGCTTCTCCCTGCCTGTTAGGCTGCTCCCGTCGCATTACGACAGGATGGACGTTGTTTTTCTCTTTTGAATTAAATCTTGACAACAGTTCGAATGCTCTTTCCAGAATGCATCAGTTCAAAGGCTTCGTTAATTTCATCAAAAGACAGACCGTGAGTCACAAATTCATCAACTTTTATCTTTTTGGGACATATATTCAGACACCAACTTTGGGACACTTTCTACAGTCTTTCATCCTCCAAAGGCAGTGCCTTTCCATGTGTGACCTGTTACCAGCTGGAATGGACGAGCGGCAATTTCTTCACCTGAAGCAGTGACTCCAACCACTACGCTGATGTCCCAGCCCTTGTGACATGCCTCAAGTGCTGCTCTAATGTATTCCTAATACATTCAAAGGAATAGTCCACTCCTACATCAGTCATCTCAGTGAGTACTTCTTGGATGGGTTTACTAAAATCCTGAGGGTTAATACATTCAGTGGCTCCAAACTCATTGGCCCTTGGAAATTTATCTTGATTGACGTCCACACCAATGATTCCCGGATGCACCAGCCACTTTACCACCCATAACTGCCAATCCAACTCCTCCCAGGCCAAAGATGGCACAAACAGAGCCAGGCTCCAACTTGGCTGTGTTCACAGCAGCAGCATAACCAGCTGAAATGCCACAACCTAGAAGGCAGACTTTATCCAAAGGTGCTAAAGAATCTATTTTAGCAACAGAGATATCAGCCACAACTGTGCATTCAGAAAATGTGCTGGTTCGCATGCAATATAAAATCGTCTCTCCTTTGCAAGCAAATCTGCTGGTACCATCTGGCATTAATCCTTTCCCTTGAGTGATTCTTATCTTCTGGCAAAGGTTAGTTTTAGGATTTAGACAAAATTTGCATTCTCCACACTGTGGGATGTAAAGTGGGATGACAGTTATCACACGCCTTCAGCTTAGTAACTCCCTCATCAACACTTTTCCACAATTCCAGCACCTTCGTGTCCCAAGATCACTGGAAAACAACCCTCAGGCTCAGCTCCGCTCAGGGTGTAGGTGTCGGTGTGGCAAACTGCAGAGGCAAAGATCTTGATTCGAACTTCATGAGCCTTTGGGGGTGCCACCTCTATCTCCTCTATGGAGAGAGGCTTTCCAGCCTCCCAGGCAACTGCAGCCTTGCACTTGATAATCTAGTTCGCCATGTCCGCGGGTTCTCGTCGGCACGGAGGGCGGACTCTATGTTAATGCAGAACCTAGATTATTACTGTCTGAGAGGAATTGCTGCTATTCTCATTCCATGGTTGGCTTCTCTGTGAGTAGAGATAGGACGTCCATCTGTGTGGGAATTAATCTGAGTTCAGGTTCCTCTCTTAATAAGAAACGATCAGCACTGCCCCAACTCAATTGTCTATCAAGGCCAGCAGACCCATATTTAAGTAACAAAATAGGATAACTATATCCCAGATATTCCATAAAGTACAATCTCCCATCTGATATCACAGTTTGCATGAAGGGGAAAAAAATATTAAAAATAAAAATTGCCTCGAAGTATGCAGCTCACTGATTTCTTTACAACCACTCTAAAATCCATCCTGGTCAGGTGTGGTGGCTCACGCTTGTAACTCCAGCACTTTGGAAGGCCGAGGCAGGAGGATTACTTGAGCCCAGGAGTTGGAGACCAGCCAAGACAAGATAGCAAGACCCTATCTCTACAGAAAACAAATTTTTAGATGAAAAATTAGCCAAGTGTGGTGGCACACTCCTGTGGTCTCAGCTACTCGAGGTTGAGGCGGAAGGACTGCATGAGCCCGGGAGGTCGAGGCTGCAGTGGGCTGTGACCGCACCAGTGTACCCCAGCTTGGGCGACACAGTGAAACCCTGTCTCAAAAACAAAGCAAAACAAAACAAAATCAAATCAAATCAAATCTATCCCTAGATTATGTAGATAAATCTATCTCAGGCCAGCAGAGGGCTCTACACCTTGTCCTACTGACCTCAAAAAGAATTGCCTCAACTGAACTATGGTTGGATGTGATCTCGGAGACAAGACTCCCAAGTCTACAGAAGACTGCTGAAAATGCCCATCCCATTACACAATATTTTGTGTAGGAGGGCTCTGAAGACACGTTTATTCCTGATCTTAGAATTTCACAGCTCTGTCTAAAGAACTAAATAGTTGGATGGTAATTTGAGTTTGTGTTTTTTTTGTTTGTTTGAGATGGAGATGGAGTCTCTGCGTCCTGGGTTCAAGCGATTCTCCTGCCTCAGCCTCCAGATTAGCTGGGACTACAGATAGGTGCCACCACGCCCAGCTAATTTTTGCATTTTTAGTAAAGACGGGGTTTCACCACGTTGGCTAGGAAGATCTCGATCTCTTGACCTCATGATCCACCTGCCTCGGCCTCTCAAAGCGTTGGGATTACAGGCGTGAGCCACTGCGTCTGGCCATTTGTGTTTTTTTTTTTTAATCTCAGGGACAATATATATTGTGTTGATCAGATGTGCTTTTCATTTTGGCTATTAAAAAAACACAGTGAAATTCATACATGGCCCCCCTGCCACATGTTTGGAGACTCTGGAATATATGTTTTTGATTAGTCTCATTCCTGGTTCCACTTCAGTATTGTCTTTTTTTCTTTAATCTTTTCACTGAAATAGCACATTTTTATTTTCTTATTATATCTTTTCTTCCTAATCATTGTAAATACTTTTTGGACTAGGTAACAATAAACACATTATTACTATTAAGGAAATAATGAAAAGGCCTTATTTATTTAATTACCTAAAGAGATGGGATCTCATTCTGTGGCCCAGGCTGAAGTGCAGTGGTGTGATCACAGGTCATTGCACACTTCAATTCCTTAGTTCAAGCACTCCTACCACCACAGCCTCCCAAGTAGCTGGACTACAGGTGAGTGCCATCATGTCTGGCTAATTTTTTTTGTAGAGATGGAGTCTTGCTATGTTGCCCAGGCTGGTTTCAAACTCTTGAGCTCAAGTGATCCTCCCACCTCAGCCTCCCAAAGTGTTGGTATTCCAGGTGTGAACCACTCCCAATTAAGATGTCCATTTAATATCTATTTTAACTCATTTGAACCATTTATAAGATAACTGACTGGCTGGATAAAAAGTAGATCTACTGACAGTAGTCTGAATTGAACTCTCAATATCTGGGTTTGTGTTGATCATTTAATTATTAAAAAATAATAGCACAACCCTATAGAATTGTTATGAGGTATGGAGATAAGAAAAACAATAACTAATCAGTACCATAATATAACAGCATCCACTGTGTATATTTTCTAAATTTTCTTTTCTTTTGAGAGAGAGTCTCAGTCTGTCACCCAGGCTGGAGTGCAGTGGTGTGATCTTGGCTCATTCAAGGGATTCTTCTGCCTCAGCTTCCTGAGTAGCTGGGATTACAGGAGTGTGCCACCAGGCCCAGCTAACTTTTTTATTTATAGTAGAGATGAGGTTTCACCATGTTCTCCAGGCTGGTCTCAAACTCCTGACCTCAAGCAATCCACTCGCCTCGGCCTCCCAAAGTGCTGGGATGACAGGTGTGAGGCACCGCGCTCAGCCTATTTCTAAATTTTCTTTGAATGTTTTATGTAGATGTAATCATAGTGCACGTGCTTTTATAAATAATACAGACTTTTAAAATAATTGCATCATCTTCACACTTGTAATTTCTATTTCTGCCACAATCTTCACACAACACTATAACATAACCATTAAAACAGCTCTGCATGGAACCCATAAATGTGACTGCCCAAAGCATCCATGGTTGGCTTTAAAAAAGGGTTTATTTTTAAAAAAAGAAAATGTATATAAAAATGACAAATGTAAAAGAATAATAAGATAACATCAAAAGATCAAACCCCAGGATGGACTGAGATCTCTGAAATGTTCACAAATAGGCCAGGCACTGTGGTTCCCACCTGTAATCCAAGCACTTTGGGAGGACAAAGTGGGGAATTTACTTGAGCCCAGGAGTTTGAGGCTGCAGTGAGCTGTGATCACACCACTGTACTTCAGCCTGGGTGTCAGAGCAAAATTCTATCCACCCCCACCCCAAAATAAAATACAAATGACAAAGGAGTGTTTTCTTAGCTGTGTTTAAAAGAAGCACTAACATTACTACCAGCGAAATACAAATTGGCACAAACTTTCTACAGAGAAATTTAATATCAAAATAATTTAAAAACCTTTTTTTTTTTTTTGAGATGGAGTCCTGCTCTGCCACCCAGGCTCAAGTAGAGTGGCATAATCTCGGCTCACTGCAAACTCTGCCTCCCAAGTTGGATTGATTCTCCTGCCTCAGCCTCCCAAGTAGCTGGGATTATAGGCATGCACCACCATATCCAGCTAATTTTTGTATTTTTGGTAGAGATGGGGTTTCATCATGTTGGCCAGGCTGGTCTTGAACTCCTGACCTCAGGTGATCCACCTGCCTTAGCCTCCCAAAGTGTTGGGATTACAGGTGTGAGCCACTGAGCCCAGTCACCCCATCCATTTCGAACCACCAATTCCACTCATAGAAGTCTTCTCTATGGTGAAAATGTATCAGTGACATGCACAAATATTTATGTACTAGAATATATTTATTGCAATGTTACTGCATTCTTTAAAAAGAAAAAAAGTAGAATTTCCAAAAATAGCAGTAAGAAAAAAATTTTTATTGTGTACCTATAGTGGGACAATCAAGAGCCATTAAAATCACACCTCACTGAATGCCATGTAAAATATGTTTATGGTATGTTGTCAAGTGTAAGTATTTGGCTGTAAATTGTATATTGTAAAAATAATACATGAGGCCGGGTGCAGTGGCTCACACCTGTAATCCCACCACATTGGGAGGCTGAGGCAGGTGGATCACCTGAGGTCAGAAGTTGAAGACCAGCCTGCCAACATGGTGAAGCCCCATCTCTACTCTAAATACAAAAATTAGCTGGGTGTGGGGGCTGGCGCCTGTAATCTCACTTACTCGGGAGGTTCAAGCAGGAGAATCGTTTGAACCTGGGAGGCAGGGTTTGCAGTGAGCCAAGATCGTGCCATTGCACTCCAGCCTGGGCAACAAGAGTGAAACTCTGTCTCAAAAAAAAAAATTAATAATAATAATATATGCGCTAATGGCCACATAATGTATAATTATATAATGAGGTAATGTGTGTGTGTGTGTGTATATATATAGGAACACATAAATGTCAGTTTATATATATCTTATATCTTAAAGGGAAGAGGGAAGAGGAAAGGGAATATTAAATCAAGAAAAAATCAGCAAGCCAGGATTCAGGGGAGAACACAGACCTAGGGAGTGGAGGTTGGCTCATGGGGGGTCCTTTTGCCCCCACCCCTCAACACTTCACAGGATTCCTGTGAGAGTTTGTGGGCGCATTTTCAGGGGAAAGGGACTGGAGGACCCTGATCTCTAAGGGAGACTGACCCTACTAACACCTCTACTTGAGGTTAGGATCTAAAATTCCATCACAGTAGTAACAAAGGTAAACTAGAAGTAGGGGGGTTGAACATTTTCGGGCTAAAATTCAACTTTAAAGCATCTAAATCTTTGAACATACCTCAAGGTGATCTTGGAATGTTAGTGCCCCAGGTGCCTGGCAAAAGCAAACATAAATCCTATCTGGGAAAGGATGAAATCAAACTAAGCATCTGCACAGCATAAAATTAAAAAAAAAAAAAAAAAGAAAATGGAGACATAAATAAAAAATAAACAAAAATCAATAGAAACAGAAAAAGACACACAAAGATCCTAGATTATTATCAGACACACATTTTAAAATAGCTATGTTAAATCTCTCCAAGAAGATAAAAGACAAAATACAGAACTTCAGTAAGGAGTGGTGGCTCATGCCAGTCATGCCAGCCTTGAACTCCTGGGCTCAAGCCATCCTCCCACCTCAGCCTCCTAAATAGTTAGGACTACACTACAGGGGTGCGTCACCATGCCATGCCACCACGTGAAATTTATTAAGTTAGGGAATCACAAGGTTGCTTAATTTGTCTGTAAACAGGTCTTAAGGTTGCTTAATTTCTCAGGAAATAGGTGAAAGTACAAAAAACAAAAATTTAGTCATGCCAGCACTTTTGGGAGGTCGAGTTGGGAGGATTGCTTGAGTCCAGCAGTTTGAGACCAGGCTAGATAACACAGAGAGACCCCATCTCTACAAAAAATTTAAAAACT